TCGGGATTGGAGGGGAAAGAGGAAAGAGGGGGGGAAGGATGTGCTGACGTGGCGGGAAGTTGGCAGTCCACGTGTCAATGATCCTTCCACAAGCTCACCTATGGGTAAGAGTAAAAGTAAGAGTAAGAGTAAGACGGAGAGAGAGAGAGAGAGAGAGAGAGAGAGAGAGAGAGAGAGAGAGAGAGAGAGAGAGTGACATGCATGTAGTTGATGCTCATTTTGTCAATAACTCCATGTGCAATTCGCCGTATGCTGGTGAAAACGAGGGCGGCACCGGCCTTGAGTTCGAAAGTTCAGGTGGTGGGCTGCAGATTCGAATGTGGAAGCGTGAGAGAGGTTGACCGCCCCCTTGTGAATTACGGCCCGACGGTAACCAAACCGGCCTAGTTCAGTTACTACACCCGTGAACTGTTGAAATTTGAAATGCAAACCCAAGTTCGAATCCAGCTGCCATCAGGATGATATCCTTTTTTTCATTGCCCTTCGAAATAAAAAAAAGAAAAAAAAGAAAGGATAATTTTGCGAAATACCCTAGGCTACCAGTCGGGCCGCCCGGGTCCCGGGTGGCCACCCCGTGCAAGGACCAAGGAAGGTCCAAAAAAAAAAACAAAAACAAAAAAATCCAAAAAATCCAAAAACAAACTATGTTATGCAGAAAAATAAATTGAACAACTTTTGCCTTAGGGTCACATTGAAATTCTTCACCAAATTTAAAATATAAAATATTTTTTATTATTTTTAAAATTTTTCTTTGCCCGGTCGGGCAAGTGACCCCGAGCCACTCTGGTAGCCTAGGAAATACCCCCATAAGTTGAGATATATGTCAAAATTCCCCTGAAAGATATGGGTAGTGCAGAATGTCGTTTTGGCCCGAAATCTTTATGTTATGCCCCTGTCAGGTGGGTGTGCAAATTTGCAACATGGACCTTTTGCAACTGGGCCTTAGGAAAGTTGCCAAGTTTTTGGTAGTTTGAAAAGTTTGATGGTACCTAGTGGGAATATATTACAAAGATGGGGGGTCCTACCGATGCGAGGGGTATTTCACAAAATTTTATTTTTGTTAAAGGGGCATTTTGCTCTACTCACATCTTTCGGGGGTATTTTGCAAATTATGCCAAAAAACAAACAAGCCAAAAAAAAAAAAAAAAAAAAAAAGTATGTTCGTTCTGGGTTCCGCAGGGGTTGCTTGGGGGTGTTCGTCTTGGGTGTTCTGTCAATTTCCACTGTCTGGCATATCACACGTTCATGCCATTTCTGATAGTTTTTCATACGGTAGAGTCATTTGATTACATGTTACAAGGTCACGGGTTCGAGTTTAGTTGGGACCTTCGGGGGGTTCCTTGTCCAACTTGCCCTGTTCTCTCCTCAATAAACACACATGATGTTGTCTGTCATACAACACACACAGCCTTCAGGCATACGCATAGCTTGCGAACTACACATCGCCTACAGGCTACATACACAAGTTTCCACACATGATGTTGTCTATACATCTCGATACATAGATTCACAGAGCATACACAACCTTCGGGTATACGCATAGCGTGCGAACTACACATTGCGTACGGGCTACATATACAAAAGTTTCCAGGTGTGTGCATACATACAACTATAATATCAGGTTCGGGGGTCTAGTCACTAAGTGGGATCTTGTATCTGCAGTAGGTTCGGGTAGGTTTGATAGGGTGTGATTGGGTGTGGTTCCTACTGACATTCGGATAGAACTGTCTGGTGGCTATATATAAGGCTTGGACCCTAGGGTAGTGTTAGGAACATAAGTCGCTCAGGCCAGTCCAAGTTTCGCCTGGCCTTGGGTAAGCTAGGGGAAGGACGGTAAGACTGCTTCAGTGGGTGTTACCCTGTTTGAACCTAGAGTCCATAGTCTCTTGGGGCCTGTAGTAGATTGTCTGGGTCCGGTGTCCGAAGTTCCCGCTCGACAAGACTCGTTCAATTCCGCTTCCACAAGGGTTGGGGAACCTATCAGCCCTGGTGCCTATCACTGCTGTTCAGTTCAAGTTGCCTGCCCATTGGTAGGGCAATGGTCCTGAGTGCTGGTCACACTGAGGTAGGATAGTGGGATAGGGGTTGCACTAGGAGTATTGACGAGAGGATGGGATGGGAGGTGGTCTCATATTCCAAGACACCCGCGGCTCACAGCTCCAAGAGATCACAGTGCACTCAGTGACTGACCTCTATCACACCTTGACAAAAAAAAAAAGAGGCCTAGCTCAGTTGGTTAGGCACACAGGTGACATTCAACAGGTCATAGATCCAATTCCCCCTCACCACCTAAGGCACTCTTGGTGCCAAGCAACTGGCGTAGTTGCCTTGCTCCCCCTGTTCGGTATTGGTAGGATCTTTCACCGTCATGGGTGTGCATGTGTGTGGGTGTCGGTTGTGTGGTGTGTGGGTGTCGGTTGTGTGGTGTGTGGGAGGGTGTTGGGCATAGATATTGCCTTGTGGTTGGCACCACAAGCCATCTGGCCGGTAGAACCCAACCGAATTAATGAAGTGCGCTAACGTCAAGGGCCCATGGTCGATGTATGCACCAAGTAGTAGTGGTTTAAATCGTTTGTGGGCGCACCACGATGAGCTACACTAACTGGTGTCAAGGCCCTTGCGTATGTTTCTTTGAAAAAAAAAGAAACGTGAAAAACAACTCTTGACAATAAGCCAACACATTGTTACTCGAGGTTGTGCCCGTTACACCCCAATCCTCTCTCTCTCTCTCTCTCTCTCTCTCTCTCTCTCTCTCTCTCTCTCTCTCTCTCTCTCTCTCTCTCTCTCTCTCT